CCAACATATCTTAATTAAACATGGAATGACATGACACTCGTTTATCTTACATACCTCCCTTTTTAACCGACTTCCAAAAAAGGAGGAGGTTATCAGTTCGTCGGAATATTTTTTTTTTATGTATGTTACCGCATAACTTTGGACCACGTCAACCGATTTCGATAATTCTTTTTGCATCGGAAAGGTAGTGTCTCAGATATACTAATATGGTTAAGATCCGATCAGTGGATCATGAGATATATATATATATATATTTTTTTTTATATGAGAGTTGAAGTCGGTTTTTTTGCTAAAAATTACTTGTTCATATTTTGAGTGAGCTTATTCGCAAAGAAATTAAAAGGGTGAGAAAATGCTACCCCATAAGTCTAAATGGTAAGGTTTTGTCTGAGTTATTTAAGTTTTTCTTAAACTAGTCTTTGAAAAAAGTGCAAAAACAGTCTCAAAAATCTCATTATTATGATTCCTTGGAATTTTTATTTTTTTATTTTTATGAAATCTTTTTAAGCTTAAACTACTCAGACATCTGAGGTAATTTTTTCAAAAAATATTAAAAAAAAACTATTTATTTGGTGGAAGTCTTAAAATATAATACATAGATTTTATAATTGCAGTGGAAAAACAGTACCGCTTTTTTTATGGGCAGTGATGCAGTCTACTGTACATAAGTTGGCTATGATTACTCGGCCGTGCTGTCATAGTAGCACAATGCCGCTAAGTTCATTTTAAAATTTTCAGGCAATAGCCTCATGCGATTATCGATTAAATTTTTTGTTGTTTGTGTGAAATATTTTATTTTTATCAGTATTTTTCTTTTAATCAAAATAGGGGTATTCTCCAATTCTTGCAAAGCCATTGCACGTGACACGGATTGCATGGATAGCATAACTTGCAAACACACAACAACAAAATACATGGGAAACAACATTTCCTATCGCTGCAAAATATGCAACGTCGAAACCCATGTATATATTGTGCAAAATAGCTCAATAAGATAAATGCGACCCTATGCTACTTATTTTGTTGTTGGAATTGCTAAATATTTCTCTCATTCCTCTCATCTCACTCACTTAATTTTTTTGCTGTCTCTTATTGTATTTGATACATAATTTCGCTGCTTACTACCCATGCATGCTACACTTTGCGATGGGGTGCTCTCGTACTCTTCGAAATTTGGAATAGTATTTTTGCATTTCGTGCAATCCATGCATTGTGCAAGACTTAGAGAATACCCATAATATGTTGAAATAAAAGTGAAGACAAAAAATGTTGCCAGAACAGAATTTTTTTCATGCGTCTTTCTTCGTTAATATTTTTTTACACGTCTTTTTGTAAAAGTATTTTTCATATACATCTAAGGTTTTAAAATAGGATAAACACGGCCTATTTCCCAGGAGAATGGGATTTTTGGAGCTTTGAAATTGGCAAGACTTCATTGTACCACTGGAATTCCTCCCTCAATCGAGAGAATATATGGAGATGAAGGCTTTACACCAACGAAGGGCAGAGAGAGCTTTTACTCTGCACGCGCCTGTACAAATGTAAAGCAAGTTTAAGGGCCGGTTACTCAATGTCTGGTTAACACTAATCTGCGGTTAAACATCGTTATCGACGTCTTCGACTCCATGCATACAACAGGGAGTCGGTAACGTCGATAACTATGTTTAACCGGAGATTAACCGGCCCTAAAAGAGCTTTGCCCGCGGGCAAGGCAGTGCCCATAACCGCTTTACACCAACTACTCACAGGCGGTTTTTTTTACCCGAGCGCACTTGTGCACAAGTGCATTCAAACTTTGTTCGCATAACTGTTGTTTGGAACAGATAAAACGAATCGAGATAGATACAAACAATTGTATACATACATAACTGCTCAGAATGAAAAGAGAAGCCGATTTAGCCACACCGGTCCGTTCGTCTGTCCGTCTACACGATAACTCAAACAAAAATTTAAATATCTCAACGAAATTTGGTATGACGGTTTCCCTTCATCCAAGGTAGGTTGGTATTGAAAATGGACAAAATCGGACTGCAATCACACCCACTTCCCATATAACGGTATTTTCGAAAAATGCAAAAACTGCGATATTTCAGTAAATATTGGATCCAAATTGGTAAGTGAAGTAGAATTTCGGTACAAAATAAGGTCGTTATGAAGTTTCCGGAAAATGGGCGTGGCCCCGCCCGCTTATGATGAAATGCTGTGGGGGGAAGAGGGGGTGAAATAACACAAACGCCAATAACGCAAATTTGTGTTATTTCCCAATTGAATGTGAAATAACACAAATTTGCTTTATTTCATTTCTCGTTGAGCAACAAGACCAACTTTTAAACTTAACAATTGAGAAATAAACAAAATAGTGCACATATGTAGGTAGTCACCCAGTTACATTTGACAAAAAGTAGTACATGAACAAGATAAATGGACGGATTTGTAAGTATAAAATTTTGAAAGTGCCCAGCGTCGCGGCGGTCCGCGTTCGCGCGCCGCACCGCGCCACCCCGCTCTTCTCCCTCATTTCGCAATTATGCACTGCTGTCATTATAACCGTTTAGAAAAAAGAATAATAATAAAATGACACTAGTTCACTTCTGAAACTGCTTTTTAATGTCCAAGTAATGGGAAATATTGCGTATGGTGTTATTGCATGCACCCCACCCATGGTGGAATTAAACCAGGTGAAGTAATATTGGAGTGAGAAGAAATATTTTGACACTGACTTATTTGAAAACATGCCTATAAAATGTGACTATAAAAGCGTGATTATGGCAACTTAACTTAACTTTACGGAACGTAGAACTCAGAGAATCAAAATGAAACAGATTTCGACGTGGCATTAAGTTACGTTAAGTTTCGGCTGTTCAATTATAAGCAACACCCATTTAACAGAATTTTTAAGAGAGAGCCGTAAGTTACGTTAAGTTGCCATAATCAGACCATAAGACAGCCGAATGTCAGAAAATAAAGCGAGAAAGCTGTTTTATTGCTTCACCTGTTTATTGCGCCATTCATCCCACCTGCTTGTACCGAGTATACGTTCAAATTTAGAAGTCTGAGAGTGGGTAAAATTTTACACATTTTTACATCACTGTTTTTGAAACATCGATAAGATCGGTTAAATTTTCGATGTTTGCCATCGATTTTTACAATTTACTAACATCGCGAAATTGACGATACATCGATGGAAGTCTTACCGATGTTTTAACCATCGAAGTAAGGAGCCTCTTNTTTCGAAATTTAAGGACGCTAATTTACTCAAAATTGATACACACCGGCTTGCCATGTAGTGGTAGCTTTCGCAAAGGTGAAAATCATATACTTAGTACCTGCGCCGGGTATTTAATGTTCGGCTCGAACTTAGACTTTCTTACTTGTTTTGTGTTGTTTATGGCCTTATATCAATTATATTCAAAAATTTANCTTATGAAAAATGTTATTGAAAATCAACAATAATTTACAAAAGGTAGAAGTTATAGCTGCTACTTCGGAGATCACCACATCTCCTCAGTGACCGCGGTTGAAGAAGTCTGATTAGTAGATGTAGTGATCTCCCAAATAGCAGCTATAACTTCTTACCTTTGTAAATTATTGTTGCTTTTCCACAACATTTTTCATAAAAACGGCCCCAAGTTCAATAAAATTGTTGGATTCATTCTGAATCTAATAACCTAGCCGTTAAAACAGAACCAAACACCCCTTAGAATTTCAACAAGATCAGGCCTAGGATCTTTAGGCCCGAATGACCTTACGATGGTATGCATTTTGATTCTAATAATAGGGTATAGAAAGGATAATAAAATACAGGAAAATACATTCATAATTATTAAAGTATTCAATATTGCTTTAAATTTAACTAGATATTAACAAATTGCAAAACATCGGAAACCATCGATATATCGATGTTTCTCTGGCGATGTATTTTAGCCTCGATGTTGTTTTCTCCGATGCATCGAAACATCGATGTATCGATGTTACTGCTCAAAATTTGCATCCCTAATTATACCAGGTGAAGTAATTAGAGTAAGAAAACGATTTTGGCACTGCCTTATTTGAAAAATTGCCTTTCAAATTTCACTATAAAGCAGCCGAATGACAGAAAATAAAGCGGGAAAGCTGTTTTATTACTTCGCCCGTTTATTTCCTCATGGTTCCATGCAAACATTTTAAGGTTTCCCAGCAATGTTTTCAACATATTAAAAAGCATGCAGATAAAATTCATACAAAAGCGCTATGTCCAATTTGTTGAGCAGTTGTTAAAGACGACTCTTTTCTTTATTTTGTTAGACTTTTCATAAGTTACAATATTTTGTGAATATTACTTCCTTCATATGAATTATATCACATTTTTTGTTTAATTGTATTTTTGGAATAAACAAAGCTCTTTTCCCTTTTGGTCAGTAAACTGTTTTTGTTACAAATAGTATAAATAAGCAATGGAAAATAAGGCAAAACTCAGATTTTGGTATTATTTCCCATTTAAAAGTGAAATAAAGCAAATTTTGCGTTATTGCCGTTTGTGTTATTTCAACCCCCCAAAGGCTGTATCTCATTGCTTTGAATAACCACGCCCACCTCTCATATAATGGTAAGAATCAATAACTTCTGAGGCTAATTCACTCAAAATCGACGCTTGCAATAACCTCTTAGCAGAAAATTAGACCAAAAACGTGTATCCCGGTAACAAATGTATCAATTTCTACCAAACTCGGAGGATTTAGTTACCTTGGTACGGAAGAGCAACACGTTGAAGATTTTTGAAATTGGACTAAAATTACACCCGCTTCCCATAAAACGGTAAACTTTGGAAATACGAAGACTCTGATATTTCAATATAACTGAGGACGCCAATTTACGCCGAGTTAATAGGTGCTTATAACAATCTCTTAATAAAAAAATAAGGCTGTTATAGGATTTTAGGAAATGGGCGTGCTACCACCCACACATTATTATAACTTGCAAATATTAAACCTCAGCAGAAAGTAATTCATATTTCATTTCAGATCCCAAAACACGGCATCTCATACAAAGGAAGTACAAATCTAAGCTGGTAAGTATGAAACTTGAATCTCTCATTTGAATATAACTAGCGTAAGGCAACAATTTTCAAAGCTACTTAGTAGAATGAAATCGAAAAGAATTTATTATCTATGGGTATACAATTAGGGAACTCACGAAATGTCGTAATGTCTTGAAGTTGTAAATTTTTTTGATGTGTAGGATGACGGAATAAAACCAAATACGTCCGCTCGGGTCGTCAAATATTTATGTACTTTTGTTCTGCCAATATCATATATTTGGCAATTCAAAAACACTTATTCGCTAACTTTCAACGAGTGGCATACGCCCTCTTGAACGTATACTTATTTACGTACATTAATCGGAATGAAACATAAAAGTTTACATTGGAAAATATTTTAAAATATGCATACACATTTAACATAACTGTATTTTCGTTAAAGCCAAAACAAGACAACATTGAAGAAAACTTCCCAGTCGGAAAAGGTAATGTTTGGGAATGCAAAAAGTAAAGGATGACCCCTATAACCTCTGCACGAAAAAATGCAAGAATTTCGTTGTCATTCGAAAGCAATGTGTCACATGTCCTTTTACAAAACGTCCGTGCCACAGGGTTTGACCTGTGACCAACCAGTTGGTAGTCAAACACGCATCTATTCTGCTACAGCATCTGTGATAATGTGAAAAGAAGACATACTTAAGTTAGCTCTAAAATTTTTGTTTTGCTTGTGGCTTCAAAACTACTCATTATCCGCTCGCTTACATTGCGATGCATCTTTTCGTTTAACCGTAGTTGTTAATCTTTTCTTGGTAGAAAAAGGTAATGAATTTCGTATGGTTGTACAAATGTTTAATTTTACAGGAGAAGCAAAAAGCATTATAAAAAATGTTACAACNTATCCGCTCGCTTACATTGCGATGCATCTTTTCGTTTAACCGTAGTTGTTGTTAGAAGCAAAAAGCATTATAAAAAATGTTACAAAAACAGGTAGGCCTTTTTGAAAAGTGGCATGCAACTCCGTTGTTTTTGGTAATAAGACTTTAAAATTTTTATTGAAGGCGCATTTTAAAATACATATCCTACCAAAATCTGTGAAAAACGCAGTTTCGAAAAAAATGTTGGTTAGGTAACATATCGAGCCCTAACCGCCAAAATAACGTAAGCGACATTATTTTTTCAAAGTTTTCTATTTGATGCAGAAATATTCCTAGAGCATCTAGATGATGTTATTTTGGCGGTTAGGGCTCGAAATGTCTAAACAAATGAAAATTGTATGTGTATTTCTTATTATTAAAAATGTCCAATGAAAAATATTTATTTTTTTTTGCTGGAATGACTATGTATTATTTTTGGGTAAATTATCTTCAGCGAAAGCTTTCGGCGACGCTGTTCTGATTGTCATTGTGCATATAATATGTTTGTATATTGTTTGCTTTTGTTCTGCCGCTATCAGCTTAAGACTATGTTCAAACAGGCACCTAATTGGCAATTAAGAACCTTTTCACAAATTTAAGCCTCAAATGTTACCCAAATTATCATACAATTAATAATTAATTGGCAATTAATTTGTGTCAGATTCTCTATGCAACCCTGTTTATAGTATGTTTAAATTTGACTATGTTCAAACTGGCCAATTAGCTGAGGCAATTAAGCTTTAAATTGCGGCATTGAGTTTGGTGTTCACACACACGTTAGCTGCGCAATTAGCGATACGAAAACAGCTACTGGATTACCTAAAGTGATGGAAAAGTTGGTACAATCATATGTTTATTGAACAAACATCAATCAGCTGTTTGTTTTTGGTCCTTTTTTACAGCTGATATTCCATCAGGGATGGAAAATTGAATTATAAAATTGTACCTAATTTACGGAAAACTTTACCTTAAATTAGATAGATGTACCTAAAAAGTAAATATGTATTTCTGTATAAAGAAAATAGGAGGATAACAATTCCCATCGATACCATATCAACTTCTGCACTCTCATTAAAGAAATTTGGGCTATGAAAAGAATCTCTTCGAGCAGCGCGAAACAAAACTATATTGGAGAAAAGGTGAATAACTTTCCTCCCAGTTCGTCGATCTGACGTTTTAAAAAGAAATATTTTCATCTATCTGGCGAAATCAACTACAGTTGCGTTCCTTTGACCACGCTTCTGTATCATTTGTATGCCCCTTCACAAAGGAGGGAAACTTTTAGACCAGTTGCCGTTGTCAATAAAAATAATAACTGATTTCCTGAGAAGTTATTTGGCTACCATCCAAATTTACATAAAATTGAGTGTTTGTGCCGAATGTGCTTTCAAACTAAATAAAGGTACGATTGTACCAACTTTTCCATCACTTTATGTAATCCAGCAGCTGATTTCGTATCGCTAATTGCGCAGCTGACGTGTGCGTGAACACCAAACTCAATGCCGCAATTTAAAGCTTAATTGCCTCAGCTAATTGACCTGTTTGAACATAGTCTAATGAATTAGCTTTGTACACGAGTACATCCATACATACAGACGATATGATAATGCGACTGTGTTATCGAACATGTATGTTGATAATTTGAAACACAGATTCTACATAACATCGCGCACAAGCACAAAATAATGCAGTACACAACAACACATACTTCTTCTTCTTCTCTTCTTTTTTGGCGCTGTAACCGCCTAAGCGATTTTGGCCGAGTTCAGCAAAGCACGCCAGTCGTTTCTCCTCTGTGCCAACTGACGCCAATTGGAAACGCCAAGTGAAGCCAAGTCCTTCTCCACCTGATCTTTCCATCGCAGTGGGGGCCTCCCTCTTCCTCTGCTACCACCAGCGGGTTCCGAGTTGAATACTTTCAGAGCTGGAGCGTCGGTGTCCATTCGAACGACATGACCAAGCCAGCGGAGCCGCTGTATTTTAATTCGCTGCACTATGTCCATATCGTTGTAAAGCTCATACAGCTCATCGTTCCATCGTTTGCGGTACTCGCCGTCGCCAACGCGTAAAGGACCGTAAATCTTCCGCAAAATCTTTCTCTCAAACACCCCAAGAGCCGCCTCATCGGATGTTGTCATTGTCCATGCTTCTGCGCCATATACCAGCACGGGCATGATGAGTGACTTATAGAGCGTGGTTTTCGTACGTCGAGAGAGGACTTTACTCCTGAATTGCCTACTCAGTCCAAAGTAGCACTTGTTGGCAAGAGTGATTCTACGTTGGATTTCAATGCTGACATTATTATCGGTGTTAATGCTGGTTCCCAAGTAAACGAAATTCTCTACTTTCTCGAAATTGTAACTGTCAACAGTGACGTGGGTGCCAAGGCGCGAATGTGCTGACTGTTTGTTTGATGACAGGAGATACTTCGTCTTGTCCTCGTTTACCACCAGACCCATGCGCTTTGCTTCCCTATCCAACTTGGAAAAGGCAGAACAGACTTCGCGGTTTTTGTTACCGATGATGTCGATGTCATCGGCATAAGCCAGCAATTGCACGCTCTTGTAGTAAATTGTTCCTGAGCGGTTCAGTTCTGCAGCTCTTATTATCTTCTCCAACATCAGATTAAAGAAGTCACATGAAAGGGAGTCACCGTTAAATTACGCTGAAATTGGTTTGGGGAATTTGCAGCGTAAAATACAAATAAATAATAAATATTTAACATCAGTTTTAAAAACATTTTGGCGTAGGCGAAAAGCACTAAAAATATTTTTAACTTTTACAACTTAAAGCCATTACGACCTTTACGATGCCTTGTGAACCCCCCAAATATGTATAGTAAATTAATAATAAATTGTTTATGCGCATATATGCTTACTACTTAAATTAGATTCACAGCTAAAATACTTCATCAGAACTTTTTTCGTTCAAAAATATACATAGAAACACTATAAAAACTACTTTACTGACAACGTCTTAAAAGTGCAGGAAGAGTTTTCTTAGGTTCAAAATAATGTACGGCCAATTTTATTGGATATTTTTACGAAATAATATTCTTGATTACTGGACACATCTAAGTAAATCTAGTTGCCATTCAAGCTTTTTCAGTTCGAAGTAGTTAGTAAATATTTGTGTTGCAGGATAACACTTACATATATGTATAAACATTAGGGTGCCAATCGAAAATGCTTCTTTTGGAAGTTTCAGACCCTACCCCCTAATTTTATTCGTTTTTATGAGAATTATTATTGCCTATTTTTATAGATTTTATAAAGGTCATTTAGAGGTCGCGATCTGTCGGTTTAGGTAAATAGGATTTTGTAGATTTATTAGTTTTTGAATGGCTACTTTTGATTCGATTTCAAAGATCGAAAATTATCTGAGAAGAGGATATATGGGCCTTTAAAATGGTATATAATAATCTATTGTCAGACTAGACTTGTTGGGATTTTTTATCGGGTAAATTAAAAAATACCCGTATTATTAAATATAGAGGACTATCTAAAATTAAATCTACACTCTAAAAAATTTTTGTTTAAATTTGCGCATATTAAGATAGGTAACCAGTTTCCTCTCTTAATGAATGCAAATTTAAACACTGCTTGCTTACTTTTACTTATCATATGTGTGGCGTAGAACAAATTTCAAATTTGTTTTTTGAGTTTTAAACATTTATTGTTTGAATTTACGCATATAAAGAGAGGTAACCAGTTTCTGTGTGTGTTTACTTTTACATATAAAATTTGTCACGTAGCGCATACAAGGGGTGGGTTTTGGAGCTAAATTTATGATGATATAAGAAATTTTGAAAGAAAAAATTTTCCTTTCCATTTATTGTGCGTCATTTTGTAAGAATTTTTCTTTTTTTCTTGAGAGCTCTTTAAAGTTTAACTGCGAATGAAAACATTGTCCTAAAAATATGCAATGCATACTCACTTACTGTTGCTTTTTACACTTTACAGCCTAAAAAAGTTTACCACTGATATATACTTAATATGCATTCGAAGATTTAATTTGCTAACTTCGAATTCGTTCCACCAAAATGAGCTACATGATAAAAATACAAGTTCAGTTAAATTTTCGTTATTCGAATTATTAAAAAATGAGAAACCAGAA